AGAGGGAGGTGCTGAGCTCTTCTCCCTGGGATCCAGTGACAGGACGCATGGGAATGGTTCAAAGCTGCGCCAGGGGAGGTTTAGACTGGACATTAGGAGGCATTTCTTTACTGAGAGGGTGGTCAAACCCTGGAACAGGCCTCCTAGAGAGGTGGTCAATGCCCCAAGCCTGTCAGTGTTTAAGAGGCATTTAGACAATGCCCTTAATAACAGGCTTTAACTTTTGGTCAGCCCTGAGGTGGTCAGGCAGTTGGACTAGATGATCGTTGTAGGTCCCTTCCAAGTGAAATAGTCTAACATTGCCATAAGGGATTAGAGTTTCCCTTCTAAGACTCTTAGTCATGAAAAAAGACTATGTGAATGGGAGAAGGGGTAGGAATAGAGCAAAGCACACAAGATTGTGTAGCTTGAAGATGTATGGCTGAAGATCCTGCCATCAGAAGACATGGTACCTCATCTGCTAACTCCTTCTGCAGTTTGTTTTGTTCTGCTGACAGCAGCTGCAGCCTTAGCAGGGAAGCCCACAACCGAGAAAGAGTACAGCCAGTGGGTAAAGTGAGGCAGGCCAAATTTAATGTAAGTGCCTCTGAGGCCCACCATGCATCAGTTGGTTTGAAACCTAGAACTTTTCTGGGGTTTGGGGTTTTTTTTAGGAAAAAAAGTTCTCTCAGTTGAAATGTAAACATGTTTTTCAAAAGAAAGCCAAAGAAGACTTAGAAACGGAGACTCAAATGCTAACAAGTGACCCTGTTGTTGCTGTTCAAAACACATCGTGCTGTTGTTCTCCATACTGGTTTATCCAGTCTGAGGTTTCATTGCTTTCTGCACCTTAGGCCAGATATCTGCTGCAGTTCTCTGAAGCTGTAATTATTACACCTTGTGCCTGCAGGGCACAACTGATTACAAAAGGGCCAAGCCTGAAAGCAGAGAAAGAAGCAAATCTCTGTTTTGAACAATTACCAGCAATTTATGAAAACTTTTTTTTTAGGTAGACCTGTGAATGTTTTGTATGTATAGAAACAGTGAAAACTTAGGCATTAGCTTCAGCAGCTCTCCTGTGGTACGGAGTTTTAACTGAGAGCAAAACAAAAAAAAGGACTCATGTGGGACACAAATGGTATTTTGTAAGAGTAAAACATCCTGGAAGTGAGTGAGAAAGCTGTGTCAGAGACTAAAATTACCATCTATTAGGCAGTTTATATAGATGTGCTGGAGTTAGGCAGATAGTGGGTGCCTTCCTGCATTTCCATTTCATTCAACATACATTTCCTTGGGAGTATTTTTTTAATTTTGAACTGATGCTATATTCTGTTGCCAAGTTGTTTTTCTTTTGAAGACAGATAGGTTACATGATCCAGTGCCAAGAATCTGTCGAGCAAGCCTGTAGCATACTATTATATAGATAAAACAAAGGCAAAAAAAGTAGGTCATTCTATTTTATTTGTTGAGCAGAGTTTGGTTTTGGTGGTACTAGCTCATATTGAACCCAGTAAGAGTACACTCCTGAAAGTTTTGAAAGGTAGTGCCTCCAGCAATACATCCTTTTGGCAAGTAGACCTTGATGTTTTTACATTTGGGATTTGGTGTACACTGAAAAGCTAGGGTATTAACTGAAAATACAAATGGTCATCTAAAATAGAAGGATAGCAGAGTCTAGGGCACTGGGGAAAGTAGAAGGCAGCTGTGATGTGGAGGTAGGGGCACAGAGAAGAACGAGGCTGGATTAAGGGATTTGCTTTTCTCTCCAGTATCCTGGAAAGTGTGGAAAAGTACACCATGTACTAACGCCTTGGGTGTCGGTGAACCCTGACTAAATGACTGAAAAGAAATCCTGTGTGAGCATGTGCCTGTGTGGGCACACGTTTGCATGCGTGTGTCTGTGTGTATGTGTATGCATGCATGCACTTCAGTGCAGATAAGGGATTTGTCAGGAAGGTGGCCAAATTAAATCCATTTTTACAAAACTAGCACAGACTGGACCAAAAGATTTTCATTGTAATGTCAGCCTAAAGCTAAAGTTTTTCTAACCACTAATACCAGTCTAACAGCTTTTCTCTGCCAGGGGCCAGTAGCAGATACCTAGGAAAAGTATAAAGGAGTGTGTGTAAAGGAAAGGTATAAAGGGTGTGTATAAAGCACTACTTCTCCCAGTAGACTTTCCCAATTTAGCAGTCTGTTGTTCAGGAACTTCCTAAACCAGATACGACATCTGTGGAATAGATGTCCAGCTCTTCCTGGACCTATCTCCTGTGAATTTGATCAGGTTCTCTTTGAACCTATTTTTACCTTTGGTTTTCCCAGGATCCTGTGGCAATTTAATTACACATTGTGTGAAGAAGTGCTTCCTTTTGCTAGATTTAAATCTTTAGACCTCTAAGCCTTGCAACTGGCTGCCTTCCTCCCCACAGTTCTTGCACTCTAAGAAATGATGAAACATCACCCAGTCAGGATTTCATAGGGCTCTCATATCCCTCCTCAGCCATCTGTTTTCTAAACCAAGAAATCTCTTTCCTCCTGTGGAAGCCATACCATATCTCCAATGATCCGTGTCCTTCCTTTTGAACTTTTTCTTCTGTATCAGTCCGTAGCAAAATGCTTTGCTTTGCTTGTCAAAGGATAAATACTGCTGAGCTGAAGAATTCTGCTCACTCCATATTTTTCAGTTTGCTGGTGCGTATCATGCAAGACTACGGTGGCATAACTGTTACTTTTGCATCGTTTAACAACACCTGTTTCAAAAGAACTGCAAGTGGCAGGCGCTACATTAAAATGTTTGTATTCTAGGCCATTATAAAAAAAATACACACAATCTATTATTAAAGTTTTCCAGGGATTGGTGTGTCCGAGAAGCTACTTGTAGCTTTCTTCTGCAGAGGAATTAGTGTCTTTTGTTAATTGAAAAACCCTTCTCAACTCTTGTTTTGCTTTGATCTACTCCTCTCAAAGCCTCAGATCAACAGCCACTAATTTCCTCTATCAGCAGGACCTGATACAGTCCTCCCTGAAGTCTGCTGCACTCTTCCTGAGGTATCTGGATGCATCAGGTATATAGGACATCAAATTCTCCCTCAGCATCCTTCCATCTGCTCCCTCCCCAACTGCAGACTAAATACACTTGACGAAGTTTTGCTGTCAGTTGCACTTGTCTAACGGGCTATTGCTCTTCAGTGGAAGGTGGAATATAAATGAAAGGGAGTGAAACGGTGCTCAGCATCCAGCTTCACTGTCTCCTCAGCGTTTTCACTGCTGCTTGAGCTCAGACTAAAAATAGAACAGATAAGGGCAAAAGAGCCAAATTATCACAGGGAAACAAGTCCTAACACTGGTTTCAAGAGTAAATGTGAGATTGTAAGCAAATTAGAAGTGAACTACCAGCTGCATGAGTGTGCCGGCATCCTGGATTAGTAAGAATGAGGAGTGGGAATCTGTCCCTATTCAGTTCAAAACTGTGTTCATTCTGAAGCCTAAAAATTACTAATTTAAGTAACATCTACGCTAATTACTTTATGATTCTACCTTCTTTATCTCCTTCCATCATGGGGCAAGACAGATGTCTGCTTCTCTTGTATTTTTCCTGTGTTCCTCAGTGCATCAGTTTCCGGACTTAGCCCGACTCTGTAATTATTTGCCTGCAGATTTTCCACTCATTCCCTCCACAATTTACTGCTTGTCATATCTGCTCTCATTACCACCCCCTGCAACAGCATTAGGTATCTCTTACTCCTTACACTTCCCTCTGCTCCTTCTCCATCAGCCTCTTCACCTCAGATGCCTTGGACTGCAGAATCTGGAGTGCTGTTTACTTAAACAAAAACCACCCAAACCCAAAGCCCCAAACCTCCTCTCTCCCCTGCTTTTGCCTTTACCCTCAAGGTTTCCTCTCCGTCCTCAGAGGCTCCAACATAGGGAAACTATGCAAGGTGAAAGGAAGCTACCTACAGGATAGCAGCCATCACGATGAAGAGGGGAAGTGGAGAGGGAGGTGCTGAGCTCTTCTCCCTGGGATCCAGTGACAGGACGCGTGGGAATGGTTCAAAGCTGCACCAGGGGAGGTTTAGACTGGGCATTAGGAGGCATTTCTTTACCGAGAGGGTGGTCAAACCCTGGAACAGGCTTCCTAGAGAGGTGGTCAATGCCCCAAGCCTGTCAGTGTTTAAGAGGCATTTAGACAATGCCCTTAATAACAGGCTTTAACTTTTGGTCAGCCCTGAGGTGGTCAGGCAGTTGGACTAGATGATTGTTGTAGGTCCCTTCCAACTGAAATATTCTATTCTATTCTATTCTATTCTATAGGCAGTGACTGAGAATGCTAGCTTTGGTGAAAAAGATAAGACCATTTTGAAACTGAGGGTTGGATGTGAAAAACAAACTGTCTTAACAGTGGGAATGGATGCTAAAATTGTGAGAGATGGCAGTGGTATTTGCCAAAGTAGTAAACTAGCAGGTGCATAATTATGAAGAGTAATTCTGAAGAAGCAATACTAAATACTTATCTGGGTTAAAAATACTTATCTTCTTTATAAATGGAATGTATAGCATTACATAGATAGTGGACTCGTTGGTATTACTATCTTATCAGTCTCGTGTATAATTTTTAAATGTGGCTTGTGAGTTTGAGTGTGCAACTTCAAAGGGGTGTGAGTTTTAAAAGTTGAAAGATAAGTCACTTCTTAAAATTGGGCCCCTGTAACTTTTCATTAATTGGTAATCTAAAATCCTGAGCTACTGACACCGTTAGCTATCTCTTGGGCTAGCCTCTGGCTTTGTTAAACCACACAACAATTAGGGGCATTTGCCTATATAAACAGTGAGCTTGCATGGAAAAAAGAGAGATGTTTGTTGGCTTGCAGTGAGAAAATCTGATCACTTCAAGAAAAGAAGTGTAGCCTGAGAGCCATGACTGCCAGTCTTAGGAGTAGTGGCAGAATCTTAGTAAGCCCTTTCTTACTGAGTTACCTAGAAAAAGCTTCCTAAACATTTTATGTTTGTGCTCTCCAAAGCTTTCGCAGGTTTACACGATCTAATAGTGTAACAACAGCCGTGCAAGCAGACCTGGATTTCCATGAGAACTTTGAAGTAATCGACCCTCAAGAAGACAATACATGTTCTGGACAAATATCAAGACAATTTTCCCGAGATGCAAGCACCTCTACCGTTAGCATACAAGGGTCAGGAAACCATTACCATGCATGTGCAGTGGATGATGACTTTGATACAGATTTTGATCCATCAATTTTACCTCCTCCTGACCCCTGGATTGACTCTATCACTGAAGATCCTCTGGAAGCTGTTCAAAGATCAGTGTGCCCACGAGATGGCCACTGGTTTCTGAAGCTACTTCAGGCAGAGAGAGATCGTATGGAAGGCTGGTGCCAACAGATGGAGAGAGAAGAACAGGAAAACAACTTACCTGAGGACAGTAAGTAACTGCATACAATAATATTGCAACTACAGAAAAGTATTTAATATAGGTCAAATTTACTCCAGTGAATTCTGTATCGTGCCATTTCTTATTTAGCTAATGAAGCTATGGTCATGATTTTCAAAAAGACTGTATGTATGTGTATAATAATCCTTATTAAAGTTGACGGGGAATCCAAATGCTCGGCACTTCCGTATTAGCTTTTGGGATTGCATAGTTCAACGGATAATTAGGAGATCATGGTTAGGGATCTTGGAGTATTAATGGAGTTCTTAACTCTTCCATTTAGAATCATAGAATCATAGAATCATTAAAGGTTGGAAGAGACCTCCAAGATCATCGAGTCCAACCATCAACCCAACAACACCATGCCCACTAAACCATGTCCCTAAGCGCCTCATCTACCCGTCTTTTAAATACTTCCAGGGATGGTGACTCAACCACTTAATTTGAGTGATTAAAAGTGATTTGAATCACTTCTCATAACCTTAGAATATGATTGAACAGATTCTAGTTCCTTTTCATTAAATTCATATCTTAGCTGCCTTTTTAGATGGTGATTGGCATCAGAGTCTCCAGATGCTTCTCCCAACTGAAACTTCAGCTATGCTTCCAAGTTGTTCTCCCTCTCTTCCCCTCTCCAGTCTCCCCTCATCTCCCTTGCAGTTCTCATTCCTCTTTGATCTTCCCGGTAAAACAAGCTCTCAATATTCTGTGATAAAAAACACACACATGCAAACAGGTTGTCACCGCTGCCAGAAGTATTACCTCACCTGTAAGGTAATGGGAATGTCTAGTAAGCCTTCATTAGTAAGAAGGGTTTGGTAGCTCGCGACTTATTCATTCACTCTAATTAGGGAAGAAGAGCTGAACATATGGCTTCCTGTCCAGAATTTTTTCTCCCAGTAAAAAGGGAAGTTTTTTCTATTTATTTCCATTACAAGGAGCAGTACTGTTGATAGCTGTCAACTTTTGGACATAGGTAAACCTGTGAGCTTAGGAACATGCTTCTTGTGAATGAAGCTTTTTCAAATTCTAGCAGGGAGCTTCTAGAAAACACTATGGAGCAGCTGCATATAAAGAGTACAATATTGTATAATTCAGGCACGCCTAAGCGTATTTTCCTGGATATAGCAAATAACACTTTTCTGACCCCCAAATTAGCTCCTACCAAAGCAAGGACTACTACTTCAGCTCCAGGATTGCTTCTTCCAAATTTCTAACCCTTCCTCTCAAGAAGGGAGGTGCTAGAATTCTTTTGAGATGTGAAGGGTTTGATTTATGGAAGGAAAGGAATTAACACTGGTAAAGAATATATTTTTTTAAATTCTTAGAAATGCATAAGCTGTTTCTGCTGGAACTTTCCATTCAACCCAATAAAAGAAATAACCACAGAGAAGTTTGATCTAGATAGTTAGACACTATTGTAAGCAACTGGAAATTGACTTCTAATGGAAAGTATGAGATAACCTTAACATTAAGGTAAGGTTAATGTTAGGGTTTTTTATTTCTACAAAATTTCTGTTACATAATAGGCTAACACTTTCTTCTGAGGGAAAAATACAGAAGGATTAGCCTTCAAAGCAGATCCAGATTCCCCAAGTTTTAGAGTATTTGAACCTCATTTTTAATATACATCATCCATACGTTCAAAAATCTCTTTGAACATGTATCAGAATACAAAGGTTTTCTGTTGTTAGTATGCAAGAAATAAACCCCATGAACTAAGAGATTTTAGATTGAAAAAGAAGTGTGAGCACATAACAAATAGGAAATACACAACATTTGTAAGTCCAAGCCACAAAACCCACTTGCTTTCTCTTTGCCACAACAACTTAGATTGGACGTAAGGAAAAAATTTTCTACAATGAGGGTGGTAAGACCCTGGCACAGGTTGCCCAGAGAAGTTGTGGATGCCCCATCCCTGGAAGTGTTCAAGGCCAGGTCGGATGGGGCTTTGAGCAACCTGATCTAGTTGAAGATGTCCCTGCCCGTGGCAGGGGGTTGGACTAGATGATCTTTAAGGTCCCTTCCAACCCAAATCATTCTGTGATTCTATGATTTTATGAACTGATAATAATGGAAAAACCTACAAATATTTTATTTGTGCACCAAAGTAGTTATTCACCTTGGGGAAAGAACGTGAAGTGAATTTTACAAGGCTGATACATGCAGAACGTGTATATCCGTGTACAGAATTTTCTCTCAGTGTCTTGGTGTCTTTGATATACAATAGTTTTAAAGGGCTCTTCTTTGAGCAATCGGTGGGAGAAGTCAGTTATGGGGAAGATAAAGGAGTGGTTAGGCTGGCTATTCCCAATGCCTCCTTACAGAGCACATGGCACGTGTCCTGCGGATTATTCCTCCTCATTTTTCTGACTGGCACTTCTCATGATCGCCGGAAATGGGAGGAGGAAAGGGATCACCTGGGTTTTGTGGTTGCTGGTGAGGTACTGATTTCAGTGTGACGCCGTGGGCCGCTCCGGCACGTGGCAGCTGCCTCCCACGGAGGCTGCGCAGGGCTTTCTGCTGTGGCTCAGCACGCCCCGCTCTACCTGGTGCCAAGGAAAAGCATATGGTCAGGGCCACACTGCCCGCTCAGCAGTGCCAGAAACAAAAGCCTGGCTGTTACAAACCCTGCCCCAAAATATGTCTTTTTCATATGTCTATAAACTTTGAAGAGAGGGAGGAAAGGAGCAGAAGAGGTGTGTTTGCTTTGGTTTTCCTAATGAAATATAACAGAGCAGGGAACGCATCCTTTGTTTTCAACCTGACATCCCCAGCGTGTGTTTGGCCAGATAACAAAATAACGAGAACGTGTGATGAGCGAGTTTTTCTCGATGCCATGGCAGCTGACAGAGGGCTCGTCCCCCCGGCGCTCCGCGTAAAATGATCCGCGCTTCCTCCAGACAATGCGGCCCTTGTGCGAAACAGCTGTCTCGGGGAGACGGCTCGCTGCTGTTTGACAGTAGCTTGTATGTTACATAGATACGTTGGGTATTATCTAGCTGGGAATGAATCTACCAGATGGGATTGAATGTTTCTAGCTGGGAAATGGAGTCTGCTGCTGTGTATAAAAACAAGCTGTGGTTCAGTGGCTGCATGATGAAATGCCAATATAGAGAGAAATGTGGCTCCCCTTCCGCCATGAATTATTTATTTTGTAGTATATTCTGGTTTTATCTGAAATAATTTTCTGATAAAGCCGCAGCGTGTGTAACAGGCAGATGAATATCACTCACACTTTAAGCTAGGATACTTGATAAGGTTTCTGTGTATTTTGCTGTTACAGGGATGTTGGCTGCAAACTCCAGGGCTCTCATAAGAAAAAAAGATGTTAGAGATACGAGGCTAAACACCTTGTAAGAATTGACTGACGCTTTGGATCAAGCCTCAAGTGAAATCAATTGTTCACCTTTTTTTTTTTGGTTTTCTCCTCAACCCTCTGCTTTCTCCTCCTACCTCACACCTGCAAAATTTCATGTAGTCAGAGCCTTGCCACTGATGTTGGTGACTTTTCGCTCAGGCCTCTGGGGTAACCATTTACACATAGAATCAGCAGCAACAGGCCTGGCTCCCCGTGCAGCGCTGTTAGCGAGCAACTGTGTAAAGTGCTCTTTTTTACACAGCAGTGGTGGGCATGGGAACATACACCTATGGCCTCGGCCTGGCCGTTGCTGGATTTTTTGCTGTTGTTTTTATTTCACATGGGGCATTAAACTTTCTGGAAGAACCGGAGGGCTTCATTTTGCCTCCCTTCAGAAATGTTTCTCTTTCACACGGGGTTGTAATGTGGCTTCGATGTGAAGATAACCATTGGAAGAAAACAGCGGGCCTGATTCACCACGAGTCAGGTGTAATGTGGGTTTAGTGGCGAGACAAGTCAGGCCAATCAAGTAAAAACTAAAATAGAAAACCAAGGCTCTGACAAGATGTGTCATTATAACTGTCTTGCATGTATATTGTACTCCTCTGGGCTAGTCTGCGAACAAAGGTTGACCTCAAATCTGCAGTAACCTCGCTGCTTAGGACCAGAGCCTCTGCAAATTCAGCCAGTTCTGGCAAATTATGCAATGTTTGCACACTTTCTGCTTTTTTCTTTTGTTTTCACTGTTTCAAAGGAAAACTTAAAAGAGTGAAGGCTAGACACAAGAGAAGAAAGTTAAGGAAAAGATATTCTTTTTGCAATAGTTGTGCATGGCAAAAGAAAGGGAGACCCTTGAGTTCACTGTCAGTCACGAGCAAGGAAAACCATTTTCCAGTCCTCTGCAGGGCTTTCCCAAGCTGTCCTGGTCCCTGCTGCTCGGAGGTGCGAGGCGGCCTCATCCCACAGCGGGCTGATGCAGCCTTGCAGAGGGACGGTCCCCAGCCTGACGTGTGGCTGAGTCCTGCTGGAATCCCCCTGGCTACGTGCCTCTGGCCATCTCCCCGACTCGTCCTTTTCTTCCTCCGGTTTTCTTTTCTCCCCAGAAGGGACTTCTCCATCTGCGAAGGTTTCTCCAAGGAAAGCCAGCTTGGGGCTGGAATCCCTGCCAGTGTCCAAAGGCAAGGAAGGAAAAAAGAGAAATCTGCAAGCAAGGAAACAATATAGTTAGGGAAAAAACATGAAGTGTGCTAATAAAAGCCAAGTAAGTCAGAGTACATATGGAAACTGCTTTACTCCCGGTGATCAGCATTTACTCATGCAGACAGCCCTATTAATTTCAATGAGATCACTCCTATAAGTAAACATGACTCAAAGCAAGGACTGCCCCTTCCATAGCTTGCTCCATTTGGCTGTTTTCTCCTTAATAGCTGAGCTTAAGACCTGAGCAGTAGCTTTAACTTTGAATTTCCTGGGTTTTGTCATGCTTGGCATTATTTAAATGCAGGTCTGTCAACATGAATAGGCTAAAATGCTGGTCCATCCTGGTTTGGAAATGGATTGTGACAGCTCTGTGGCAGGATTTCTTCATATGCACAGTGCCTAGCCAACATCTGCAACGCAAATGTCAGGCTGTGTCCCTGTAATTTCGGCTATTGTTCCTGCCACTTGCTCTTGGGGCAATGAACAAGTCGCTGGTTTTCTGTTCCCTAGCTCACGCCCTGCCTACCAGCCAGGTGTTTTCACATTAAGGGTATTTGATAGTCACAGTTCTAAAGTGACTCCTTTGTCACTTGTTAGACCCTGGGGCCTGTCAAAGTTGAAATGCAAAGAGATCAGTTAGTGTTCTAAGGCCAAATAATGTTGCTGCTGCTCAAAACTCCTGTGGCTTCTATGTGATGACTTTTCTCATCACTTCAGATGTTTTTTGTTGTTGTTTTCTTATATTTTGTTATCCTCATTACACACACAGTCTCCTTCCAAGGTAGAGCAGACACCAATCTCACCAATTCTTTGCTTGTGTTTGAAATTCTTTTTTTTGTTGTTTCATTTCTTTTCCCATGAAAATGGGGGGAGAGGGACGAGAAGGAGGAGATACATAGAGCTCCACAATCCCAAAGTAGGTCCTATGCAATTCTTAGAACCAAGAGAAGCAGGAACTTATTGCTTGAACAGCATGTAGTCTAAGTTTATATTTAAGAATGTTTTAAAAGGAGAACAGGTTGCGGGGTTAAAGACACAAGGAAATTCACTGGTATGTGTCTATCCTAGAATAACATTCTGCGACCCCTAGTCAAAAACAATAATAGTGAGGAGGCACTCCACAATAGCTGAATTATATCAAAATAGCTATACCGAAGCAGTTCTTCCAGAATAGACATAACTGTCTATTTCTTAAAAGTCATCGCAGGAAAGAACTGGATTTACAAGGAAGAGAGGTCAAAGAAGGGGGGGGGGAAATTCAAACTATAAAACCAAAACAATTTGCAGTAGACACACTTCTTGCCCTGGGGAAGGGGTGACAGCAAAGCATATGATGGATGTTAATAATGTTGCTTAATGCGTTACTGGAAGGCATTCAGATCCAACAGTGCTGAGTGTGCTGTATAACCCTGTATGGAATAGAAAGCAGACATGAATAACATTATATAGGTGTTTAAGTCCGTTGTGATTGCATCTTGATGGGTTGGCATTTTTTGTTGTCGCTTGGTTTTATACATTTTGTTTGTATCCTATTAGCTGGACACATCGATTTGAATGTTTGTATGTTTTTCTCCTGTACCCCATCTCCCTTGCTGTTAAAGATTTCTCTAATTCTTTTCTTACATATTTTGAGCATTATCTTTGCAATTCCACTTATTTTCTTGGTATTTGGCTTCAAACCTCACAGGATTTTCTCCTCAGAAATTATCAGTCTATTTTTACTTTTTGTTTTTTTTACTACACCTTGGCCTTTCTCTTTGGCACCGGAGGTTTTGACTGAGTAAGCGAAACGAGCACTCTGCCTTGAAACACTAAAAGCAACGTGCATTTGGAAACAAAACTATTGATAAGGCTTTGTGCCTTCTGGAGAGATTCCTTTCAGTCTTTCACATGCTTTGTCTTTTTTTTTTTTCTTCCCTAACTTCCGTGACGGAGTTGGTTGTTGACTGGTTGCACATTAACAGACCGCTTGCTTTTGAGGGGCAAGGAATCAGTGACACTTGACTAGATACAGCCACAGCTACAGCAGAAGTGTCAACAATGGAGAACAGCATCAGCATGCATCCCACAGTCAGCTGGGATGATGGTTTTTAGGCAAATAGCCAGTCGCTAGGCAGCCAAGGACAAGGACTTCCTTTTCCCTCTGCTGAGATCTCTGAATATTAAGCTCTTCTTCCCTCAAAGAAAGGGGCACATTCCCATCCATCACCAGCAAGGTGTATTTACATTTCTTCATGCTTGGGATGTGATTTCCAGCTCGGGTGGTGCAGGTTTCCAGGAAGAGCCCGCCTTGTCTTTTTTTGTCCCAAGAAGTCGAGAGACTGTTTTTTCTCCCATTCTCAAGTCTTGGGAAGCGTCAGAGTGGCCGAGCTCCAGATGAGGCAGCTGTTCCCAAATATACTCAGTGGGAAGAGTTTTCATAACAATGGGAACCACATGAAAGCTCCCGGAGTAGCTCCTCCTACTATTGAAGAGTCCTTTCAGTTGAGTGGTTTGCATATTGGGTTGCATAAATGACTAGACACACCAAGGGGTCCATTTTCAGCACTGTGCGCATAGAATTAGACACGCAAGCCTTGCTAACAATAATGAGAGTTGTGTGCAAAACTCCCTGCGCAATATGCTGAAAATATTCTGCTTAGTGAATCTTCCAGCTCACGGCTATTTCCTGGCAGTGCTGAGCTGAGTTCTGGGAACAAAATGAAAGTCTGGGCTCTGTGTGTGTTCACAGAGCTCTCTCCTATAGTTTCTGAAAAAAATGTGAAAAGACTCTCTCCTCCCCCCCCCCCCTTTTTTTTTCCCCTTTGTATGTCTAAAGTATAAATGAACTCCACATCCCACTTTTCCTTCAGCAGCCTTAAGGAGCAAGCTTTAAGGCTGCTGAAGGAAAAGGCGCTTGCCTTGAAGGAGCAGAGCATGGATTTTGTACTACTGTGTGTCTGATTTCAGTTCATCATGACTGTTTGGGCCAGTTTGCTTAGCGTGTGGCTACGCAAGTGAATCCCTTGGAGAGGCCTTTCTCTTACCAAACACTGCATGGTGGCATTCTGGTTGCAAGCTGCTGACATATACCGCGGCCGGTCAAAGGACCATGAGACCCTAAAAATGCTGTCAGAAGGGGTTATAGCAAGGTTGTATTTATTTATTTATCTATTTGTTTATTTTTCACTGTGGTAAGTCAAAATACTTAGCAGTATTTTCCCAGTGGAGCTCTGCTAATGTTGTGTTAGGTTTTATACAAAAAGTGACCGTGCCCAAGGGATGGTACAGAGGATGGCAGCTTAGGACCAGTATGTCTTCTAGGCTCTGTCAACAATTCACTCACCTTGAGCAGGCCACTTAATCTCTTTGTTTTTCCTGTTCCTCCCTCACCTGCCTTGTGTATCCAGACTGTAAATTTGTCAGGGAGAAGTTGCTGTGTTTATATGAGGGCTGGGACAATGCAAATATCTATGAGTAGAAATGATAGTGAAAATTGTGATACAATGGCTGCCATTCATGTTTTTCATTAATGAAGTGGTAATCATATTTTTTATTAAATGAAACTAATTTTAAAATAAACATTTAACCAAAGAATTGCAGGATAATAAGTTGCTTCAGCTGAGAGGGAAAATTAATGGTGGAGCCAGATACGTCCGTGATGCCAGCCTGTTTATGTAAAGACATGCATAAGCACAGTAGTTGTTTTTTTTTCCTGAGCACTGAAAGTCTCAAACAAACCGGTAGCTGCTTTCTTGCTCACAGCATCAATTTTCTTTCGATCAGCAGTCCCCAAAATCACACTCTCTTTTCTGGATTCACTGTTCTACTGCCAGTTGAGGCCATGTCTGTCTGTCTGCTCTGTTTCTGCATGCTTGCTTCTTTTTTCACATACACACACGCACACTCCCCCTCGACCAGAACTCGGCAAAGCCCCAAGGATGTGCAGGTCTCTGAATGCACCAGTGTATGCCTCAGTTTCAGGTAGCATATTCTCAACTACCGCTTGCAGCAGTGAAACCCCACCGTTTCAGTGAGGTTGGACGCAATCAAAACAATATGAGCTCCTGTTTTACTCAGAGGCATTTACTATGGGCTGTTTTCTGGTTCACTGCAGTCCTTCACAGTACTCAGTCAGTCCAAAGAGACTGTAAGTACCCAGCTGCCTGTACAAAGGAGTCCCCAGACAGCACAGGAGCTGGGCTAGGACTCTTTGACACCTCCCTCCAGGTCTCCAGCAAGGAGGAGAGGCCAGGGTGTGATTGCTCCCTGAAGTATGCCTGGGCATCCTGATTCAAAGGCAGAAGCCACTTCAGATTGTGCTCATGGAAAATACTTAGAGGGTCCGAATGAGATTCATCGATGTGCATTAAAATCACTGTTCACTTTCTGGGGCTCAGATCGAGCAACACTCAGCTAAACCTGAAAACAAGGTGCCGAGTTGCTAAGTGAGATGGCAGAAATGCTGGTAGGTGCAGTGTTTTCCAAGCAGTGTAGATGGCATCACAGGGTTTGAAAGCCGCATGTCCTTGTGCAGGGAGCTGGGTTTCTATTCAAAGCCTGAGCCTGGGTCACAGTGATGACAAAAGGTGTTTTGTGGAGAGCTTTCTATACAGGTTGCAAAAGCTTTTGATTAGCCGTATTTATACTGCCATAGAAGTGCTCTTTGCTGGTTGGAACTGGTCTTACTGGGGGAATGAGACTACACTGCAGCAACAGATGTGTATTTTTGCCAATGCAAGCTGCCCTGGGAGCCGTTGCAGTACGCCTTTGCCTGGTGCAGATCTGGCCTCAGATTTATCAGTTTCTCTCTAATCCGTGACTGAAAGATAACATGCTTTTTGAAAGCCACAGCTGACTATTGTGCAGCCTTCTTCGCTCTTTTTATAGGCTTTTAGTTGCCCACAGCAAAGAAAGCATCGTGACTTACATTTCTTTTTCTCTCAGTTCTAGGAAAAATTCGAACTGCGGTGGGCAGTGCACAGCTTCTCATGGCTCAGAAATTTTACCAGTTCAGAGAACTTTGTGAAGAAAACCTGGTATGTACCTTTTCTGCTAGACACTGTTGTGTGCCTTTTACTAACCCTGTGAATAATCATACCTAAACTAGACAGATTTTCTGACTAATACAGTAATTTTTCCAGTAAAGGCCTTGATATGAATTTGGGAGTAACTCTGTCAAACCTGGTGGAGTCAGCATGAGTTTCACAATAGCTTGGGATCCCTAAAATAAAGACAGGGAAAAAGCTTTGGGTCAAATATCACTGAGGCTCTGCTACTGAGTTCAGAGGAGCAAGGATCTGTCCCTTGCCCTCTGAGTTCAGTTCACATGGGCACAGAGATGCATGGGTGCCTCCTCGGGGTCTTTCAGAGTGGACCAGAAGTCTCACGAGTGGGGCTTTCCCATGTAATCCCAATGCCGCCTGTATTCAGCAAGACAGAAATACCAGAAAATCAGACACTGAAAGTTGGTGCCTCATGTTCCACAACCCCAACAGTGAAAGTCATTTTCCAGAGTGCTAAAAGGGCAAAGAGGCAAAGAGCCAGTATGTTATCACTATTATTACTGTATATAATTGGTATATGCTACCACTATTATTATTATTTGCTGTTTTTATGCTGTTAGTAGTTGTAGAATCAGAATGATATTTCTGTTGATAAATAAAAATGCATTTCACACCATGTACCTAAAGTAGTATTCTCAAAAATTCCACCACTTATAAAAATTTTCAAACTTTTTAATTAACTATCCATCCTTGCAGAGTAGATGCAATACATTTAATTCCCAATTTTGGCATAAATTCCTAGAAGCCCCAAAAGCATAGAGCATTATGCTCTATCAGCATAGAATAGGGAAGGGAAGGCAAACTCTGTGATACTCCCCAGAGTGGGGTGACCGTCTTCCACTTCAGTTAATGCACCTCTGGAAATCAAGGCCCAAACTAAAATTTGCCTCAGCGGACAAATGCAGGTTCTGTCTAAACCTTCCAATTCTTAATATAAAAATTGAAAAAGTGTTCTGGTTGCTCATCTTTGTAAATAAAAGCCTACAACTGGGCAACCTGCTAGTGTCAAGCACTGAAAAACTGGGAATCCAGGTATAATCTCTGGTCTCCTTAAGATCTAAAAATATATACTTTTTTTTTTTCAGTAATTGCTGCTTTGGTGGCACAATCATCCTACCAAAATCACTTGTCCGTGTTGCTGTGAAAAGCACAAATAGAAATTTCTTAAGGCAAGCAACTGACTCTTTTGTGTTTTTTGCTTCTGGTGAGGGAGAAAACTTAAACACAGAGTAAAACTTGAGCTATGTAAAACAACATGCAGGGGTCTAATAATTATTTATTTATTCTTTATTAATAACAATACATCAATGTAATCTTACAAGGCCACAGCAGCTATGAAACCTTGCTGACTCAGATTGGCACAGGGACTGCTCAGCATTTATGAAAAACATCTTGAAGTGAGCGTATGCAACATCTCATTTTATTTGAAGAGTTTCAATTGGGAACCAGCTTACAGATACACATCTTGTAGAAAGCTTTCCCTCATACGAACTCTGCCAGAGCAGCAGGAACAGTTTCATATATGCCCACTGCACGCAGAAAGTGTTCAGAGCTGGGTTGCGCTGAAGGGTCACAAGACAGCACAGGACCTCTCGGGTCACCAGCCTCTGGCCCATGCCGTGCTAGAGATGCTGACGGTCCAGGTGTGCTCTTCTGTGCAATGCTCTGGGGCTGATGAACTGGACTGAGTTATCACACGCAAAGCAACACTCCCCACCTGTGTCCCAGTCTCACTCTTCCCAAAAACGCGCCCATAAAAATGGGATCGCTGTGCTTCTGCATATTCTCTTCTGAGCTTTTCACCCTGCAGAGGTTATTCTTGTCAAAAAAAAATTAAGAAATTGGCCTGAGGTGTGTAAGAGGCAATTTTACTTGAAATGGTGTATTTCTGTAGCCCTTAGATTCTTAGAGTGTGGAAGAAGTGTTCATGCGTCGGTCTATCACTATTTGCATATGCAGCAAATGTACGTTTGCACAGGTATCAGGCTTTCTACAAGCGTGAACGTGGCAGGGAATCCTTCCTCATGAAAGTGAAGAGGAGGCTGGCAATTAATTTCAGTGTGGTTAGGATATCACCCTTGAACCCACCGGTTGTGCCCAGGAACATCCCTAGGCAGATCCTGTCACAGGGGACCTGCCATGTGCCTTTTCCCCGTGGTCCACGGCAGGTAGCCACTGCCTTCAGTGAGTGGGGGCTTGCGGGGGGCACAGCGGCTCAACACGGAGCCAGACTCCTCGCAAAAACCCCCACCAGTAAGTAGCACTCCGCTTTGTTTCTCTCTCTGTGTCTCACCAATTGCTTGGATCTACTGAAACTGCTTTGCTAGTGAGATTCATAACCACTTGCACAAATGCTTTACATTAAGAGGTACTAAAGCCAACATGTTTTTTTCTTCTGTTGTACAGAATCCTAATGCACATCCACGGCCGACCTCCCAGGATTTAGCAGGGTTTTGGGATATGCTGCAGTTGTCCATAGAAAATATTAGTATGAAATTTGATGAACTTCATCAGTTAAAGGCCAATAATTGGAAACAGATGGATCCTCATGACAAGAAGGTAGAACATTGTAGATTTTGTATGCTTCATTTAAAACCCTGCACAAATACTGGACAGATTAAATAGGCCTCTGTGTTACAGTGTTGACATTAAAAATGTGAAATGAAGCTCATATCAAATTAATTTCATTGTAATAACAATGTTTACATAATAATCATTTGGGATATTATCTGTAATATGTTTCAGGCATATTTTTAAACCAAATCTGTCTTTGTGAATCGGATAATGGGTATGTGGTACTTTGTTAAGCTTTACATTAATCGTATTAGACGACCAATCGTTGGAAGGAACTGCCTTATATATTGATTCTTAAAATTAAATAAATCACATTTACGGTTCATATTATTGCATATAGCAAGAGTTCTAGGTTGTGTTACTGAAAAAACTAGGGAAGCACTGTAACCATTGCTGACTTTGGTAACGAGATTACAAACAGAGCAATATCAAAAATATGCCTTCCAAAATGTTACATGAAAGAACTTCTACATCTTTTTCTTTTTGTCTGTTTGTTTGGTTTTTGTTTATCTGGGGTTTTTTTTAATGGGTTATTTCACAACCAGGTTCACTTTGCTGGTAGTGTTGTTTATCCAAGGTAGCAAAAAATCATCTGGAGCTTTGGTCTTTTTTTTTAAATGTAGTCTTCTTCTGTCACCATGAAAAACTACCACATCTCCAAGTGTAAGCCACATTTCACTTTCCATTCTCATTTGGCACCATTGCCTTATTTTTCTGCTCACTATCCGCATCGAGACAAACAGCACTTGGGTGAGCCAAAATACACAAATGTTTCAGAAAATCCTTAAAAGACAGGCCCATTCCTAGAGGAATCAACGGTCTAATGTCACGCTCCTATAGGTATGTCATTTGATGGCTGAATTTCCACTGTGGCTGGTCTGATACCAATGAATAGAACCAACAGGTAGGGTCACCAGAAGGAGGGGGAACGTGACCTACAGGTACAGTGGCTCAGACAGGAGCCCGGGCTGCCCCAACTTACGGTCAGCTGGCTGCCGATGACCAAAGCGATGTTTTCTTTTGGACAAATAACCATAATAATATCAAACCCCATTAATCTTGCAGCAGGAAGTTTGCAAAGGCAGTGCTGGTAGCACTCTCCCTCCTCCTCCGATCAAGACTAAATACTCATTCCTGACTTAGGAGTGCCATGTTCACACCATTTGTGCACACCTAGTGTGTTTTGTAGGGGAATGAATGGGAATGTGTTTTCCTAGCCCAAGGTACTGAAGGCAAGTCATTTTCTTATCTTCTTTTTTTTTTCAGTATCTGTCAGAAAAGGAGGTTAAAACCGTCAAACATGCATGCACAGAAACGCTGGTGTATGGTCTTTCATTAGCTTTTACAGTAAAGCGGGTAGGCCGAGTGTTTGCAATTGCAGCAGTAAGAAACGAGAGCTTTCCTTAAAAAAAATGTGCCTTTTCTTTGCTTCTGAAAAACATTTCAAAGAGTTTCCAACAAAAAGAAGACTATAACGGGTTAAAGGAAGTTAAGTAGTGCTGAAGAAAGGGACCTACAGTAGGAAGGTAAAGATTTTAAAGAATTACACTGACTGTGTTCCTGTTTCAACAGCATTTGTCTATGATTTTAGATGAAACAGATCATCTCCTTTCTTAAAAAGGATAAAAAAAAAAAAAGAAGAAAAAACTTTCTGTGGAATTGATATTTGCAGTTGCCTTTGGCCTTTGCCACTGGGCCCTTTTTAAGCAGCATAGATTAATCCTTGGATGGAGAGAAAAAGCGAAGTATGAATAAGTGTAACTAAGCACCTTTATATTTCGAGCCGTGGAAGCTGTTGTGAGCAGCATGAGAGAAAGCAAAAGGGCAGAATGGAACCTTTGTAGTGCGATAAAATCCCTTCACTCAGAGACCGTGTTCACAGTTGGAAGGGGATGTAACTTAAAAGACAATCTAATTAACTTGACAAAGTCTTTGTGGCCGCCTGAAATTCAGACCTGAATACACTTTTCTTTTTCGGGAGAGATCCTTCTCTGAGGGGTTTTTTGGGTTTTTGTGTGTGTGTACATGCACCAGGATATACATAAAAGTCCTCCTTGTTGATCGTGTATCTGGAGCTAGCTGCCACCGTGATGATTAATGCATGTTCTCTTAATGGTTTTTAAGTTTTTCCTACCATTTTTTTCTATTTCTAGCTGACTGTAGCTTGTCATGCCTATTTAGCAGGAGGCTAGAGTTTATGAGCTTGCACAGTGAGACCCAAAGTGTGGGATTTTTGAGCAGCCATTAAGCCACTATAAAATACATACATAAATATATGGTGGTTTTTTTAAGTATTTATTCTGATGCACCAGCTGCAGGCAGCTAGTTCCCATCTGCGTTTGGGAACGCCAAAGCCACGGTACCTCCGTGTCGCAAGAGCGCCTAGCGTTACGCACGTATAGAAGGGGGTGGCCCAGGAGTTGGGGCTCTCCAGAGTTCCTCTGCCGAGAGCGGCGTCCGCTCCCCAGCTGCACGCGGCTGCGCTGGCGGCGGGAGGCTGTGTCCGAGATGCTCTCCTTTCTAGTCCCTGGCACCAGGAGGAGACGCCTGGATCCCCCCCCGCCCCGGGGAGCCACACTAAGCGGTTAGCGGTGGGGGTCTCGTCCCTGAGGAGAAGTAGCACTGCGGCCGGCCCTCCCCTCCCCTTTGCCCTTGCCCTATGTTTATGAACCCTTGAGCACAAAAGCCAGTTCACTGAAGACAGAAAGGCAGATAAGAGCTAACAAACCTTAGGTAAAATGTGTGTTCTAACTACTGACGTATCCTAGTTTTTCCCGCCTTTCCCTGAGAAGCTGTATAATGCCATTAACCTTCTGCTTTGATCAGGAGAGAAGGGTCCCTCCTCCAGTGCCAAAGAAGCCATCGAAAGGTCAGGTGCCACTCATACGAGAACGCTCTCTGGAAAGCTCGCAGCGTCAAGAGGCCCGGAAACGGCTGATGGCTGCCAAGCGCGCTGCATCGGTCCGCCAGAACTCAGCTACCGAGAGCGCCGAAAGCATTGAGATATACATCCCCGAAGCCCAGACCAGGCTATGAAGGGATCCAACCGGGAGGACTCTCTCTGGCAAGACAAGCCTCATGTATAATCTGCCCCTCTAGGCTCCTGCTCAAGGTCACCACGAAGTATTTGTACCTCCTCCTCCTCCTCCTCTCTCTCGCTCTCTCTCCCCTTCTCTCCCCCTCCCCTCTCTCTGTACACAGCCGCCCTGATGCTCCCAGTGAACTCCACTGCCGTGGCGTAGTTGTCGGTCCTCCGAGAGATGTCCTCTAATCACCCTTGCTTTCTGAAGGCTCGCCCATGTCATCATGATGCTTTGTCACATGTACTGATGCTGCCACTTTGCCTCATGTAAACGAGTACGATCCTTTTTTTTTCTGTTTGAAACAAATAAACGCAGCGCTCAGACTTCCACACACCCGCGCACCTGTACAGTAGATGCTCCGTTTAACTTACTCATGATCTTTAGTTGACCTAAAGCTAGTCTGTTACCCAGTGTACAGCAATATCAAACTGTAGGGGACTTTGGAAATTTCAGTCATGCAGGGTGATCCTTTCGGACTCTGCCGTCTTCCTCACAAAAGATGAAAGGAGCTATGACTCGGATTCCCTTCTTTTTATTACTGTTTTTTTTAAAGCAGATGGCGCACTTTATTCTAAACCTCCGAATCACACCTTTTCACCTGAATTTAAGGAGTCACACAAGGGGAGTGGGCTGGGGCGGGAGTGGGGAGGGGGAGAGAAAAAACACAGTTCTGTGGGGGTGAAAAAGTGGAAGTGTATCCCACAGGTGAGATGGCGAGGGATAGAAAAGATCCTGTGGAAAGATACCTGCACACTCACAGCTGCACAAACTGCCTCATTTTTATTTCATCAATCACTACTTAAACATTTCAATCAGCAGAAGATTGTAAATTCGATCTTCCAGGGAAATAATCTATTTTGAAAGGCAATAAAAGAGTGAAAAGGAAGGAGATAAGAAGCAATGACAGTTGAAGAGATAATATAAAAGAAGGATTTTCTTGTCCAAGTATTAAGAATTTTTAAAATTGTACTGTATTGTCAATTCCTCTTGTATTGTATTGTATGGATTATATTGGTTAAAAAAAAAAGAAAAAAGAAAAAAAGCTTGGTTTTGTTGATGTCTTAATCTCGGTGGGACCATCCGATCTCACACGTCCACGCAGCCACACACGGACACCTGTAGGCGAATTGCTGCACATGGAGCCTCTGATGCTTTTCCAGGCCAGGCTTGCTTTGCTCTGTCCACAGCCGGTTGTATGCTACTGTTCGGACTGCTTATCACCAAACGGTCCATATCTAGGAGTAAGTTTCTAATTCAGCCTCCTCTTAATAGTATAAAATACCCATTTGAAGAAGAACAATAAAGTATTTTTCACAAGTTATGGGATCGATATGAACTTAGTTTTTTTTCACAACAAGCCTTCCTACCCTGCCTTCTGCCATTGTTTTGCAATCACGAAAAATATGCATCCCAAGTAGCTCATTAATACTGGGGGGAAATGGCAGACAATGGGGCTGGAGAGGAGCGTTGAGAGGTCAGCCCCTGAGTGTCTGTCCCCCCCAGCCACCCCCAAGCTGAGGCAGGAGCTTGTCCTCCGCCTCCTCCGACAGGGAACGACGCTGACCATGCCGCTTACCGAAACCTCTTGTGCCAACATTAGGAAAGCTATGTCAGGCATGTTGCCGAAAGCAAGTTGTGCGTGTGTGTGCGTGTGAGTCTGTGTGTGCGCACACGCGTGCCTAGCTGGCATGTGCTGCTGAAAGCAGAATTAGCGTGAGCCGGTTTGGACGATGGGGCTGGTCCGGGGCAGAGGAGGGCTGTGTGGCCCCCGGTGTGCGCGCGGCCCCGCGGTGATGCTTTCCGGACCCCTCCGCTGGTCCCTGCGTGCTCTTCGCCCTGGCTGCCAGGGCAGGGCTATGTGGGAGAGGAAGGCAGGCTGATTTCTGCTCCCAACGGGAGCAGGGGCAGGGACAGCCCCCCCCCATGGAGGGGCACAGGGCGCAGCCATTGCCACACACCCCAGCGCTGGCTGCCTGTGTCCGTAGCTGTTAAACTTCTATGGACGGTCCAACTCGCAAAAAGTCCCACTGCACGGGTGGTGCAATTCTGCAGCTTGCATTTAAAAAGCATTTAAAATCATCATCAAAAAGTTGAGCTCTTGCTAAAACTATTCATCGAGATCATGCCAGACAGCTTCTTTTCCTACAACATCATAGCCAGGTGCTAATTTAATTTTATTCAAGAAAATAGGAGAGGTGATAGGTTCTGGCACCAAGTATTTTCATGAGAGCATACTAAAACCACTAGAGAATTTGCTACCTCTCAAAGCCATTGATATCTGAGCTATGTCTTTATAAACAGGGCACAAATATTTACTGCTGTGGTTTACAAGATAAGGGCTAATAATTTAATATATAGAAGACTTTTAACTAGAGTAATCAGAAATCCAGTGTAACCCTAGAGTGCTTTGTGTTACAGGAGCTTTGAAAGGTTTGACCCTCTAAGCGTTTGAATACCAGTGTATTTGCTAGTTTTGAAACACTGTGTTTAACTTTTAGCAGCAATGAAACATCACCGTGTTTGCAGTATGTAATAGTGCCAACTGCCACTTTTGAGCATATATAGTCATAGGAAGTATTAATTATTTGGAACTCATTTGTACTGAAATATTCAAAGCAGTATCCAGGTGAGAGTCCACATTCACAACTGTGTCGCAGAATTATTTAGTTTTGTGAACGTTTTATGAAAGATGAGTTCAGACTTTGGTTGACAAGTGGCTACAGAAATTTATATCCAGCAAGTTTCCCCCTAAAAAAGCAGAACAACGAAGACTATCTAGTCTTGTACATTATGAATTATTGTATTTGTATATTATAGAATATTTTTCGTATCTATTTTAAATGAATCTATTCTTAGCTGAATGCCTGTTAGTTCATTTGGCGCTGAAGAGGGTATTATAATGTTTGCTTAGTTTTTTAGTAAAATATTAAAAATACAGCCAAGACCAAGAACTATAAAATAGAATAATTCTGCCCCTAGAACGCCACTAGTTAACCACTCGACTCATTTACCGACACTAATGCTAGTGTATTTGCTCTATCATCTGTTTTAGTATAATTTGTAACCGTTTTTAGTCTAACCTGCCCAGTGTATATTAAAAATGCCTATATTCTGTTTCACTTTGGGACTAAAGTATTGCTTTTTTTTTCCTTGGGGGAAATTTTAGAAAGTGTTGTTTTTGTCTCCTGCTTCAAAAGTTTAAAAAAAAAAGTATTTATTATATTTTTTGCAGATGTTTCCATAAAATTCTCATAATCTTTTTGTAAAGAAAGATGAAGAAATGGATTAAAGATTTTTAATATTTGAAAAGGTAAATAGAAATAATTTATTTGTAATATATTTCGGTTTATTTATTGGTGTTCCCTTAATGCTTTGATGTGCACTATCACTTTAATTTAAACTGTATCTTTGTGAATTTATTGAGTTTTTGGTTTGGGGTTTTTTTTTTAAGGAAAATGGTCAAATGCATATTTTAAGTAACAACTGGAATGTTAATCACTGGCCTACCTGCATTCCCAAATGTGATTTTAAAAATGTTTTTGATTTGAAACAAAAGACACAAGTTTGAAAGCCTTTAGACGGAGGAGAGTGTTTTTATGGCTTAACGATTTGGGTTTCCATAGGATTATCTATCTAGTTTGTGTGTGGACAGGAAAATGTAAATAGATGAATGTTTCCCATAATGTAAAAAGAGCAAATTAATAAAATAATTAATGCACTGCTTGTAAGAGCTGTGGGTTTTCAATGCAAATTTGTTCTCCCAGAACTGCCAAGGCGTTTCATTTGATGTGGTCGAGGATAAAAGCGCGACAAGCAGAATGCTCCTCTTAAGCACTCATTGCTTAAGACCGATCCTGCAAAGTCTCATACGAAGAGTCCCGCTGAGCGCCCTGGAAGGGCTCATCTGCACAGAGTTACTCAGAGGCGTAAAGGTTGCCGTGATCAAGGCCTTGAGCCTTACCAAAACCTTCAAAGGCGCTTCTGCACGGAGCCCAGCCAAACCCCACTGAAGATGTCAGGAGTTACACTGGTGACTTCAAAAGAAGCAGCGAGAAACCCCCAGCCTGTTTCTCCTCCCCCTCCCCGCGGTTCCCCTCATCTTGTGCTTATCTCCGGTGATGGCTGAAACTCGGGGGCGGGAGGAGGGTGGGGGCACGGCGAAAGAGACCCCTGGTAGAGATAGCTGACTTTTCCTTCACTGGGATCCTGCTTCCAGACTGCGTTTTTCCCTGTACGTGAAACAAAGACAGTCACCAAATCCCACAGAAATATGTCCCGGATGATGTCGTTCATGGCTATACCAGCATTTAAACAGATTCTGATTCAGTTATATCAATAGCATGCCAGTGCTGCGCCACATACCGTCTGCCCACGTTTAGTCCCTCCGCACAGGAAGATCAGAAAGATTTGTGCCAGGGACCTATAGGCAGGGAAACTTCTGCTTAAAGGTTTATTACCACCGAGATGAAGGGATTTCTCTTCATCTGCTGGAATTTATGTTCTTCTTGGTCACTGATAAACTGATACACCAGGGATGGGGAAAAAAAATGTTTTATTATTTAAAAACCTTTCTGAGGTGGCTGGTATCTCTTTGTAATGACAATAGATCAGAAGGCGTAAAATAGCAGATATGTTTCAAGCTGTTCTCCGTCAGAAGAACGAAGAAGTCCAAACCATGGCTCATAGCCCTGCCTTTCATGCATGCTTAAGGTAAACTTTATCCCTATTTATACTCAATGTTCCCTTCCAGATCAACGCATGAGCCTTCCCCACAAGCATAGCTTGTTGTCAGTTTGTTTGCCAAAGTCTGTTCTCTCCTGCTAGACATTTATTTTTGCAGCACGCAATAGGCAAACAATACATTTCAACTGTCAGTTTGGAGCATGCTCACCTATCAGATCTGTTGAGAGTTGGTGTTGACTTTCAGCTGACATTTTTTATAGCAATTAATAA